GCCTTGGCGGAATCGGGACTACAACCACGCCTACTTTCCATATAACACCATTTTAAATTCCATCTGATTATTTCACTTTCCACTATGCAAATCAGGCAACAATGACTGTATCGGGATAAAACTTTGCGTGAATAATGCGATTAAAGTACGCCACCTTGTGGCCAAAAATTTCTAATCGAACCAAAACTGTTTAAGCCCCTAAGTACTAAATATGTGGACCCCAGTGCCTATAGTTGACCTTTCTACCGAAAATATCAGCCAATCCACAAAGAAATCTCAAACGAGAGTATACTATTTGACTTTGCGAGAGTATAAAATGTTCGGTTACATCCGAACTTAGCCCTTCCTTACTTGTTTTTAGTTAATAACAGTCTATAACAATAATTATAAAGTGGGTAAATGAGGCTGCTATAAAATTAAGTTTTCAAATGTTATAAGAAAAAACGTAACATACAATTATATATGTATTTGCTGTAAATTTGTCTTTTTTTGCCGGTTGCATTGACTTTGGTCACACTGTTTCGAACGTAACTACAGAAATTGACGATGTGTTTACCGAAGTTTGCCGTACAGCACGACGTGGCATGACATTTGTGATATGCAATTGTCAAATTGCTACCAAGTGAAAGCTGTGCTGCTTTGTCGTGATTTATTTCAACGTTGTGCTAAGTGTTTTAACAGTTATTTGTATCAACTTCTAATAAATAACAATTATAATGTCACGTTATTTACTTGTCATATTCCTTGTGTGCCTCTGCCTGGCGCAGCTTTGGCCACCACCTGCACAAGCCCCAAAGTGAGTGTAACATCCTTCAGCACTCAGGATGCTACAATTCTTACACAAGTGGCGCATGTTGGTGAATTCTCATTGAGTTGTGGAAACAATGCTCAACCAATTTATTTGCCGAATTTTCCTGTGGAAAAATTGTACCAGTTGCTAAGATTGGCGATGGCAAATACCAAGTAAGTTTCTCCATTGCATAAAATGTTGTACAGATAAGTGTAGTTGTGATGTGGCAAATTACGTTGGTTTTTGTTATAGGTAAGCTGGATACAGGAAATCAAGAAAAGCGGCGGTGGTAATGTTGCTGTACGTTTATTCGATGAGGAGGGTTATGCCAACGTACGCAAGGCTCAACGCGATGGCGACAAAGTGGCTAATGTGAAATCGCGTTGATATTACTGTAGCTACAAAGAGTGCTTACAAAGGCCCATGGGTGCAGGCTGAATTGGTAGCCGCTTTGGCTGTTGGTGGTATTGCTTATTTTGCATTCACCGCTAAGAGTAAGGTGCAAGGTTAAGTTTAGAGCTGCTGCGAAATGAGCGATTCAATCTCGCTTAGTGAGATTTGTAGACTTTGAATGAAATTCATTCAACTTTTTGTGTAAAACTTTCAAAATAGAGAATTAAATGTGGATTACTTTTTAACCAACGAGTAAATCATTCATATTTTCATACATGCTGTATAATTTTAGCAAATATTAATAGATATCTATAAAGTATGAAAATAAACGAAAAGTAAAATATGCTTCTTGGGTTCAAATTATATTGTTTTAATATTATACCCAATAGGTATTTTTATACTCTCGCAACCTGTTGCTACAGAGTATAATAGTTTTGTTCACCTAACGGTTGTTTGTATCACCTAAAACTAATCGAGTTAGATATAGGGTTATATATATATAAATGATCAGGATGAAGAGACGAGTTGAAATCCGGGTGACTGTCTGCCGTCCGTCCGTCTGTCCGTCTGTCCGTCCGTCCGTGCAAGCTCTAACTTGAGTAAAAATTGAGATATCTTTATGAAACTTGGTAGACATGTTTCATGGTACCGTGAGAGGTTGGTATTGCAGATGGGCGTAATCGGACCACTGCCACGCCCACAAACGCCATTAATCAAAACAAATAACTTGCCATAACTAAGCTCCGCAATAAGATACAAGACTGTTATTTGGTACACAGATCACATTAGGAGAGGGCATCTGCAGTTAAATTTTTAAAAGTGGGCGTGGTCCCGCCTCTAATAGGTTTAATGTGCATATCTCCTAAACCGCTAATGCTATAATAACAAAATTCACTGGAAGCAAATATTTTTAGCACTTCTATTGACGGTGTGAAAATAGTTGAAATCGGGTGGCAACTCGCCCACTCCCCATATAACGGTACTGTTAAAAACTACTAAAGCGCGATAAATCAAGCACTAAACACGCCAGATCATTAAATTTTATCTCTGGGATGTATGAGATGACTTTATAGGAACCGCGTTCAAAATTAGACAGTGGGCGTGGCACAGCCCACTTTTAGGTGAAAACCCATATCTTGAGATCTGCTAACCGATTTCAACCAAATTCGGTGCATAACGTTCTTTATGTTTCTATGTCACAGTGCAAAATGGGCGAAATCGGACTACAACCACGCCTACTTCCATATAACACCATTTTAAATTCCATCTGATTATTTCACTTTCCACTATGCAAATCAGCAACAATGACTGTATCGGGATAAAACTTTGCGTGAATAATGCGATTAAAGTATGCCACCTTGTGGCCAAAATTGTCTAAATCGAACCAAAACTGTTTAAGCCCTAAGTACTAAATATGTGGACCCCAGTGCCTATAGTTGACCTTCTACCGAAAATATCAGCCAATCCACAAAGAAATCTCAAACGAGTATACTATTTGACTTTGCGAGAGTATAAAATGTTCGGTTACATCCGAACTTAGCCCTTCCTTACTTGTTAAACGATAATTTCTTTCACTTAAATTTTTTTGTATTAACTTCAAACTAATTTTAAAAATTTTTATACTATGAACAGGGTGTATTAAGTTTGCACGACGTTTGTAAAAGGAAATATATTTATATATATACATGTCTACACGTCTGTTTGACCGTCTGACTGTATATACGCGAACTAGTCCTTCAGTTTTTGAGATATTGATCTGAAATTTTTCGCACATTCTTTCTCCACAACAAGCTGCACATTTGTCGGAACCGCCGAATTCTTTTTTATTTCACATGGTATCTTTATGTAATTTGGCTTAGATTATTGTCCAAGGCACCGCTACAATCTCCAAACATATAGTTCAGATCAGATCACCTTAGCATATAGTTGCCATACATACAAGCTGAACGATCAAAATCAAAAAAAATATTTTTATACCCTTTTATGCTATAAGCTGCACATGTGAAGGGTATTATAGCTTCGGTGCACTCGAATTTAACATTTTTTTCTTGTCTTGATCTCAAATTGTGCGGCCCTAACGTGTATTCTGTAAAGTCTACTTGAGTGTGTGAAAACAATGTTGATATTTTTAAAATTATCTTAGTTTATTCTGAGTATCTTTGATAAAATATTTACATTTTACTACTTTATTGAGTTATTTAAATTTGTACCCAATTAATTGCCATTCATGGTGCCATCTTCGTCGGATGAAATATCAATCATGCTCTCCACACGTGATGGCGACATCACATAAACGAAGTGCTCTGTTGGTCCACTATCTGACACTGGATTACTTGGTATAATGGTTGTGCCATCCGGTGGTGAAGGCGACGAATCTATGCTACAAAATTTACCAGCGTGTGAATCATCGTGTGATGGCATGCCACCACATTCATTTACATTCTCCAATTCCAATTCTATGTCGCTGACAATACGCATGCAACGCATTTTCGCAAGCGATTGAAATTTGGTCGGCATTGCGCGTACCATACGCGCCAGACTAAGGAAAAATAACGTATTAGCATCCAAGTCGCGATTCGCTTGCAATATTGCCGAAATATCGACCTCGGCACGATCACTAGTTTTGCGCACTTTCGCCGGTGGCGGTTGGCCGCAATTAGTATTGTTGCTATTATTAAGCGTATTGTTATTGTTGTTGTTGCTGCTGTTGCTATTCGCAGTTTGTTGTGTTTGTGTTGCACTGAAGCTAAGATTAATCGCTGCCGTTTGTGGCGATGGCTGTACACGACGTATTTTCGATATCAGCGGTGGATTGATGCGTGCCGTAGAGGCGGTAGTCGTTGCGGGTGATGTTATATTATGGAATAGACCAATAGTCGGAGCGCTTAGCTCCTTCTTGAACGTGTCTGCCGAGGCAAATAATTGTGGTTCAATAATTAAGCAACCCACACTACTGGCAGCGCTGCTAGCTGGCATTAGCGCTGTCGGTTTTGGTACATTTGCCAGTGGCGGCAATGGAAATATCTGCGCTGGTGGCATATTAGTTGGACCCATAGTCGAGATCGGACCCAAAAGCGGTTTGTTCATCGGCTGTACCGGTGGTAATTGTACAGTCGGCAATGATGGCACTGGCAGCACAAGTGCACCGGCTGTTGCGGTCACCGGTGGCGCACCACTACAATTGTTAGTGAGCGCTGCAACAGAAGCGGCAGCTGTTGCTGCAATATTATTGCTCGGTGCAATGCAATTTATTGCAGCCGAATTGTTGGGCGAAAAAGCAGCTGATGCTGCCGGTACTGAAACCATAGCTGTGATAGGAAAGTGAGCGGGAATCGGATTGTGTGTTGTTGGTACAGCAGTCACCGTTGTATTTGTTATCGTGCTGCATACAGCCGGTGGAATGGTGGCTACAGTTGTTTGTGACGTTGGCGGTGGCGGCGGTGGTGGTGCTGGTGCTGCTGGTGTTTGTACCGTTGTGCTTGTTGGCATTGTTGCTGTGGTATTAAATTTTATATCATCATCCGATGAAGAGTTGGTAGCTGTCGCTTTAGTCAATACTTGAAAACCGAAATCACACTCTGTATCTTCGGTATCTTCATTGGTTTTGTGACTGTTGCTACTATTCGAGTTGCCGTTCGAATGTCTAAAAGAATGGCCAATGGCCGAAATGCTAAATTGTTGTTAAAACATTGAGGTTGGTGTATTTAATAGTAAGCATACCTGCCGGGTCCCTGATAAGGTTTCAGAAAATCCATATGATCGGCATGGGCCCAATACTGATATTTCTTCGATGTCTTCGTACCGATCCGAAAAGAACGCAAATATTTGGTATAACTGTCGCGTAGATTTTTCCATTTTCGCTTCGATGCATCTGTGTTAGATGAATAAACGAGAAATATTTAAGTATTTTAGTAAAGAGAAAATCGATAAAAAAAAATGTTTAACTGCTACTTTATTACTGAGTATGCATAATAGTATGTATATACATACAGACACACAACAAATCCACATTCAAATGTACTTTATATGTTTATTGTAAAGAAATTTTTTGAACCTGCACTTCAACGAGTGTATTTGTGTACATTTATGTGTAAACATTTCTCGCAAAAGCTTTGCCTGATCAGCAGTTTGCAATTTAACATTTCCGTGCTCTTCTGATCCGATCAACATAGTGTGCAGTCTGTCGCGTCCGTTCAGTCGTTACTTGGTTGTGAGTGTTCTCGTATCTTTTAAATTGAAATTATATTCTTTCTCAACTACGGAGGTAAGAATGAATTTTCAGAGGACCACCGCTTAAGTAAAACTCGTAGCGGACAGTTAACTCTCATTTGGTTTTTTTAGTGCTTTCAATATCATTCATCAAATATTTTGTGGCACAAAACTCAAATCAATAATAGCCAGAAGCTTTGTGTTTATAATTAAAAGTCTTGTTAGTAGTGCGCAGAATGCTGCTTAAATATATACCTTGTAAATAATGTAATATTATTTAATACGCCGAACAATATATAAGTACTTTTTTCACAGTTGCTGCATATGTGCTACTCAAATATCGCATTTTTTCATCAGTTCAACTATTAGCGAGACCCATTATTATTGTATGCGACTATATATGTATGTATGTAGTCTCGTACAGTGGTTTATATTTGCATTCAATCTGAAACTTGATGTGTATTGCAATCTCGCTATAGTTCTGTGCATTGAAGGTGTGGTTTTCACTACATGGATCCTGGCTACAATGTAAAACTGTGGAAAATTTTAACATAAAAACATTTTGAGCGACTTTTCCACAGCAGGACTAACAGTTAAAACAGTATTTGTTATAACAACTTTTGGAGTTTCTTATGGTGCTTCAACAACAAGTACAGAGTGTTTATATGGCGCGAAATTACTATTTTTGTGGTTATGCTAATATTTGAACTGTTAGCGGTTATTATATAATCTAGCTCATTGCTTCAATCGCGCTGAACCTGAGCTAAAGTCATTGTAGTTTGACTTAAAAAGTTCCTTAGTTGTTTGACATGCAAGTATTGTTAAAATATTTCATTTAATTTTGTTCACTCCATTGTCGGTCTGTTTCTATGAGCCACTGTATGCACCATTAAATGTACAATCGTGCAAATCATATAATATTTTAATGAGTTTTATTTGTCTATGTGTATGTGTTTGTGTAAAGCTTTCTATACCACTCGCTATTAATACGCGGCGAATACCGGCTTTTGTAATAAACTTTACATTTCTAGAAAGAGGTACATCCCCGCTTAGAATTCCGGTAGAGTGGCATAGCAGTAGGCTACTTAGATATGGAGGAGCATTTGGCAAGTAAAAACGTTTACTTCAGCTGATAAAAATAATTTTGTTTTGATGGCAGCTATATGCTATATATCCGATATCAGCGTTTCCGACAAATGAGCATTGGGATAAAAATGAAGCGTCCAACATTTCAAATCGATATTTCGTGAATATACTCGTACCTTCACAAACTAAAGCGTTTTCAAAATAAGGAATTGAGTTTTATGCGTCAGCTATGGCAGCTACATATATGCTATAGAAGTCCAATCTAATCAATTTCTTCGGCGATTGAAGCGTTGCCTTGAGCAATAATCTATGCCAAATTTAATGAAAGTAAATTGTCAAATGAGAAAGTTTTCCATACAAGCACTTAAACTTGATTGGTCAGTTTATATGGCAGCTATACACTATAGTGGTCCGATATAGGCGGTTCCAACAAATGCACAACTTGTTAGTGTGAAAACGACGCGTACAAAATTTCAGATCGATATCTTAAAAACTGCAGGATTAGCACAGAGTAGTTACAGACGGACGGTTGTTACAAGCTACGAGCTCAGGTGAAAAAAATATGTCACAATATAAACATTTAGAAATTAAACTAAATTACATAGTTATTATTGTCTTACAAAAGAATGTTGTTGAAAAAATGGAACCTCTTTTAAATCGCAATTTATCGCTTAATTGATAAAACAAAAATTGGCATACAGTCTTGTGCAAAATATATGCCTGTGCGTTTTTGAAATCTAATATTTTTCTATATTATATAAAGTTTTTATATCGTGAACATTGAAGTTATTTAAAAAAAATTATTTTAAGAGGCTTGGAACTTGATAAGACAGTCGCTAACATAACCTTTAACGAATCTATTATGTTAGAGTGACTCCACTAAGGTCGCGCTATTTCGCGGCTCAAAACTGCAATCAGTTTGGTAACCTCACTTTATTTAAAGAAAAAGGCTGAATATAATCTGTAATGAATGAATTGTTTCAACTGCTGCCATTCCATACGGGCTGATAATATCAGTTCATTTTAGAGGATAAAGGATGAGTATATTCAAGCATACCCAAGAGCAGGATTTTTTTTCCTCTCTGAAATATATGTACATACATAATATTTCTTTATACTGCTACTTTTTTGAACACAATTGTACCAATACACATTGTATTGAGCTTACCAATTAGGCATTTTCCGTTATCATAATTATTTTGTAATTGTTTTTGATTTAATTTGGAAGATTTTTCATTCATTATAGGTAAAACATCCTTTCTCACACCGTACTCTGCCTCCCACCCTCATGAAACATTAACATATACAGATATGTATGTACGTAGTATAGATACATACATATACACTTTCGCTCATACAAATTTTTGTATATATGAGTGTACATACAAACATATATACGTATGTGTGTGTGCATGTTTATGCTCATATGTGTGCAGGTAAACCGTTTGACCAACTGGGGGTTGCACATGTACGCACATCCATATACATTTACACTAACCAAACTTAGAACCAATTTTTTCACCAAATGATTTTTTTTCCGCCGATTTGCACAATACATATGTTCATATATCTTTAGATACATGCGAAAGATACACAATTTTTGAAAAAAAAAAAAAGAAATTATTAATTTGTTTTAGTCACAAATGTAATATTAAACATATTTTCCCACCTACTATGTATATATGGCTATATTTCCTCTGTGTATGTACAAGTGTATGGTATGTTTTTGTTTTTGACATTGTTGTTATCACTTCATTTATTGATAAAATATTCCGCGAAAATATTCGCGCTTGTTTATGTATATTATCAGATGTTTCTTATCACACTTTTCACGCTGTTTTTCGCGCTGCAAGAATTCGTTTACTTGCTTCTCTTAGTTATGCAGATACATAAATACGTAGGTAGAGTAAAGGTTTTATATGCTAACGCGACGACTTGCATTGCTGCTTGTAAGTACGCGAATGTTTGAAGTCATTAATATTTGTTGGGAAAGAGCGTATATACAGTATACATAGTATGTAGGTTTGTATGTATGTGTGTATGTATGCATATGCATGTATGGATTTAGATATGTATGTACATATATGTAAATATGACTATTTCGTTTTGTGTATAAGTTCGTACTCAGGTATGTATGTACGTGTAAGTGCATTCAAAGAGCGGTGGTTGTTGCATTAGGGTGGTCAAACGTTATGTGGCAATATTTCATATGACCATGTCGTGCAAATTTAGCTAACATCGAAATGGAAATTTTTGATTTAGAAGTAGACAGAAAGTAGATATGTATGTATGTATATCTCCGTCTCAGTTGTTTTAGTAAATTATCGGTCATCGATAAGTAAAGCTAATTTCTCCAATTAGTTTAAGTATACATTTAGGCGTGAAACATTGCCAGATACTATTTGTACTTGTATGTATTTGAATTTGAGAAAGCTTGTACCACTTTTTGGAGTACCAAAAGCTGAGTAAGATCTACTACTCGGTGGGTAGGTTTAGATCCGAACTTTATAAAATCTAAAAATCAGAGCAGTTATTTTCATTTATACTTAGAGAAAAACTGAGATGCTGAAATAATTTGTCTTAAAAGAGTGTAACATCTCATTGATAACAATTGAAGAGGAATCGTATTGTTTATACATACATACATATGTCTATGGACTAATTGAACGCAAACTAAATCACTCCTGTCAAACTATACTACATGCCGGATAATAAAGCGTAGCGATCTTACCAATTCTGACTCAGTTACTTAGATTTTCAAAACTTAGACTTAATAAATTACGCAGATGCCTTCAGAAAGGAGTCTAAAAATTGAAAAGGTTACAGGTGCTACAAGTTGAGGAACTTGATTTGTCATGAATTCTCATCATCTGCACTTACTCTTTTCTGTTTCCTCCTCAAATGTGGCCGCTCAGTTCAATGAGCTCTATCAGTTATCTTAAATATGGATAGGTATAATCTCTAAAATAAATTGTTCAGATCGGACCAATATAGCATATAGCTGCCAAACAAACTGACCGATCAAAATAATTTTGTATGGAAACTTTTATTTTGTGAAGAGTATTATAGCTTCGGTGCAACCGAAGTTAACGTTTTTTCTTGTTTTATTTTTAATTCTCAAAAATCGACTTTTTAAGCTCCCACAAGGTGTGCCCCTTAAAGCCTCGAAGAGCACAAATAGCCCACTCATAACAGAAAATCTATGCAAAATAAGTACCGGATCTAGGTATATAAAGTGAACAAAGAAACTGGACCACCTTAATGTAGTTTAAAATGTACATACCTACGTACCTACTACAAATATGTATATATGTTTGTGTGCGTGCATGTGACTTCTACATTTGTTGAAATATGCCCATCACACCCCATGATTCCCTTGGTTGGGCAAAGAACAAAACGCAATGGTGGTGGCAAACACATAAGAGCTTGGAGAGTCAAGCAATAGTCAATGAGAGTGCGCAAATTCATGAGTAACGCTTTTGTTATTTATCTACAGGGTGTTCGAGTGGGTTGCAGTCGCGCTGTAGGAATATTTTCATACACAAATTTTTCGATATTGCGACGGCGCAACTCGTTTCAAGCGGGCAATTTGTAGGGCAAAGCAAATCGAGTTGAGACGATGTGCTTCAATAAACGAAATACGTTTCTATATGGTACATGCATACATACATATTTTCATATTGACATTATTCGTTTACTGTTGTTCATCAAAAAGTCACGCAGGGATATTAAAAGGGGTGGAGGCAGTCAGTGCGGTTGAGCAACATATATGTATGTATGTGTGTATATCTACCGTTATATGTATATATATATGTATGCCTGTGGGTTGCGTCCAGCAACGGTCAGCGGCTAGCGGTCAAATGTTTTTGCTTCCTGTGGATCGGCCTTGTGCGCGCGCGCTCTCGCCCACAATCAAACTCAAAAGCATAGAAACTCTATGCTTAACGCTCTCCGGGCGCTCTTCAAACTAGCAAAAACACGCTGTTTTTAGCTACGTTTGCTTGCTTGTGGCGAGTACACCCACCCACCCTGCTGCACTGAAGCGGCCAACCGCGCGCTGTTCACCGCTCGCCGTTCGCTTTGCTAACGAATACTCGCGTAGAGAGCGCGCAAGGCTTGGCGTACGAATTGTTAGCCTACGTTTTGTGCGGCGCTTTAATGTTTCGTTTGTTTTGTTGCAAGCCGCTGGCAGCGCCGCTTCCCGCGTCCTCATCTGCAGTAGCCATCAGCAACGAACCATCGGCGACTGGTGTGACACTCGTCAGAGGATGTATCGTTGACGTACATTGGCGCACAAGCACACGTAGCACATACATCTACATATATATGTATGTATATTTATAGGTATGTTGTATATTTATTTCGTTGTACATAATGATTCTGTTCTGCCGTATATGCCATCAGAGAAAATTCAATATATTTACTTGTGTATGTATATATGTGTATACTGTGGCAGTGGGTAGATTTAGCATATATACGCACACATACAAACATTTCTATCTACATACATACATATATACTTAGAAAAGCAGCTTACACTCGACTGCGTTTTCAGCTGTATGCAAGCGTGTGTTTGCATTTTTGTTGTTGTTTTTTGTGTAAGGAAGAATTGTGGAAAAGGAATAGACGAATACAATATTGTAGAATACAAGACGTTGGCTGTGAAATCAGCAAATTTCATTTTCGTTTTTCGCATTTTCTTTACTTCTGGATGTTCGTTATTTATTTTGATTTTGATCTTTTTGTGTTTTTGTTTTTGTATTCGATTTTTGCCTACTTGATTTGTTTGCAATGTATAGATACTTATATACAGTATTGTGCAAGATATATGCAATTTGGCATTGAAATAACTTTGATTTTAGTTTTTCTGACAAGATAATGATCTGGTGTTTATTTTGAAAAACAAATTTAAAATGATATTTTTAAGACTTTTTTCAAAAAAATTTATTAAAAAATATTGTCATACATTTAAAGCGATATTTTAAAGGGGAAGTACCCAATTGATTAAATTTTTTATTGTCTTAATTGATAGTTTGTATATGCTCTAAGAAAATGTTTGCTTACAAATTAAAAATTATGGAAGATATGCCACTTAAAAGAGATTACCGCCTAACCGACCGACTTTTAACTTCAAACTTTAAACGACGTTTTCTCGAAACTTATTACAAACTTATTTTTGCGCTTGCGTTCAAAAATCCTTCAACTCAATGCAATAATAGTGTAGAAATAAATGTTTAAATGTTAAAAATTCTTTCAAGCTTTTTTCACATACTCGTATGTATACTTTGCACAACACTGTAGTTTATTATACTATATAAATACAATATATTTGTAAATAACAATCATACAAATACATATAAGTATGTATGTATGTAAACTTGCATATAAACACTTACCAACAGATAGGCCAATCTCCTCGGCAATCTGCGACCAAACCTTCATTTTCACTTCGACATTTTTATAATCCGGATTGTGTGTATTATAAACAACATCATACTTCTTAACGATATCAATGAATTCGGTTGTGTTGTCAGATGTTGTGGACGACTCGCTAGCGCCGCGTGGAGTCTTCATTTTGTGTGTGTCAATTAATTTAATCGTTTTTTCTTAATTTCACCAAGTTGTCTAATGGCGACTACAATACAATGTTTATGTTTTAGCTACAAGCTTGCGGCGTGTTTGTTTAGATTAGCAGCACAGTTGCACTACTTGACATTTGTTGTGTTTATCGAAAAATGTATCGGTGAAAAATTCACTTGTTTGCTTTTTATTTTGCCGGTTAATTGCAAAATATTTTAATTTTGTTTTCTTTTAGCGCTTTTGTTTTTGTTTAATATTTATTAATTGCTTAGATACGCGCCGAAGAGATAATGCCTTGTATGTTAGCACAGTAAATAGAAATATACGCATAGTTTGTACACTTGCTTCCGCGCACCTTCGTCACAACTTGCTTTTAGCGTATTATTTGCAATTAGACGTTTTTAGCGAGCATACGCACTACAAACACACGCATACATATGTATATACAAAAATAGGTTTGTATAGGTATATGTATATACTTATGTACACATAAACGAGCACTCGCGCTCACAGTTGGTTTTGATGATGGTCTTTCACGGCACGCAGACCACAGTCAGCGAGTATCGATTGCCCGACGGTGGCAAGACAGCACAGTAGCAATGCTGCGACTAGTTGACGGACAATGGCAATGGCAACGGCAGCGGTGGTCCGCGTACGGCTATAACAGCGCTGATTACAAGCAAGCGAAGTGCATACGAGTATATGTACATACTACGTACGTAAGTATATAAAGTATGGGTAAAGGCAAAATCGCTGTGACGAGGCAGCTGTAGCCGCGCAATAACAAAAGCACTAACCACAACAAGTACAACAACAGCAGTAGTGTAGCGCGTTGAGTAGCGCTTTCAATAGCGTTCAGTTGTCAGTGAATACACACACGCACACTTAAGTGTGTGCATATATATACAGTGCCTATATGCAGTTGCACATTAACGCCAAACAATCTGCTGCTGCGATATGCATATAAAATGTATATATAGATGTGGGTATATGCATCTATAGGCGAAACACTGCCATAAACATATGTACACACACACACGCGCGTATATATCTATGATACAAAAACACTACAAATATATGTATTATACATACATATGTATATGGCCACTGTATACACACACAATAGCCTAGTAGGCGCTGTCGTTTATATATTCGTATGTATGTATGTACCGCACTTGCTGACTGCCAGCGGACTCTGAACGTTGTGTGAATTTATCCGTACCGATGCGACCGCTCCGACAAAAGTTGGACACTTGAATGAGCTGAGCGCACGTACAACCACCGCGCAACGGTTCGACAGACACGAGCAGAGTTGAGACACAGGCAACAGCGCTGTGAACAAAACACACACACGAAAACAAAAACAAAGAATGAAGCAAGTTAAAACAGCCGCACCAGCGACAGCAACAGCAGCAGCGGCGGCGGCGACGGAAACAGCAACAGCGCCAGTGGAAGGCATGCAGCCAAAGCAATAATAACAACAACACCAACGACAACAAGAACAGCGTCAACAACGATGCTTGGCAGTGACGATGACGACGACGACAAAAAGGCGGCCGCCAGCAACAAACACACAACCACGCCATACCATTGCCATTATCGCAAGCCAACAGCAGCATCGTACCACCAGCACCAGCACCATCATCAACAGCAGCAGTGGCAGCAGCAACAACAGTGCCATTGACAGCGACAGAGTAAGCAACAAAAGCGTGTTAGTGTGGCAGCGGTGGAAGTGGCAAGCGGTTAAGCAGAGGAGGCAAATACCGATTGTGGAATAGTAGTGGCGCATTACTAAAAATGAAAAAAAAGAAACTAAAAAACAATAACAACAAGAACATGCTGTAGCAGTCAACAGTCAGTCAGTAGCAGTCAATGGTGGCTAAAAGCAGCGAGTTTGGCGAAAAAGCGGTTGGTGATGATGATAATGATGATGATAACAATGATGATGAGAGTATTGCAGGCGGCACTAGCTGCAGCAACACGGCCTTCGCAAATAGCACAGGTGAGACCAGGACGATGACAGGTTATTTTGTGCGCTCATGGTATTACTGGAGCGCTGGTAAGCTATATTGTAGGCGAAACGTTCTAAAATCATATACGCACTATGTTGATATGAATGATCAAATTAAGCGGTTAAAGACTAACTCGTGGACGCTAACATAGAAGTGCCTGCAAGAGCTTGGAAACAAATAAGCAATTTCCAGCGCGGACGACGCACAGAATCTTGCGCTGAGAAGTAATTGCTGTTAAAAAGGATACATATATGTACATACATATATGGTATATACAAAGAACGACTGCAAACGCAAGCTGTACCGTTGAGAGCAGTGCAACAACAATTTCGCGCACGACAACTTTACTGCGTCGTTATACATTGTCTGCGTCCGCCTCCACAAAATACATGACAAAGCGCGTTCCGCACACCCAACCAAACAGACAGCCAACCAACCATACACTCGTGCGCTCATCAACAACGGGCACTGCACACGGCAGCGACAAAGTTGACGGCGACGGCGACAACGCGCCGTTAAACATTTATTCGATCGACCGCTAAGGCGAAGTATAGTAAGCGACGAATGACGGCCCCATCCAATACAGCAGGCACTGAACTCAGCTAACAAATCCAACCGACCAACCGAAGCTAGTGTGCGCGCTTTGTGGCGCCCCTATCGCTTTTCCTCGTCGTCAATATGCTGCGCTCCCTTTAATGCGTGGCTGTTGGTTATGCGCCAGCTAAAGGCAAAACACAGAGTGCGCCATATAGCCGCAACTAAGCGACGGATGAGGCGAGGCAGGCTGAATGGCTGTGGCAGCCTGAAAAGTCAGCATGTAGAGTTTCCCCACGTGCCGCCCGCTGTTGGCCGCAGGCTGATGTGTACGGCGCACAATGAGCGCGCACATAAACGTGTATACAAATATAAGTACGTGTGTGTTGTGTGTATGTGTATGTGTGTAGTTAGATGTATATGTATGTTCGCATATATACGCTCGACTCGCGTAAACTTCGCTTCGTAGCTGTAGTCGTCGTTTTTGTTGTTATGCTTGTTGTTCTTGCTATTGTCGCAGCAGTCGTGGTCGTCGTCGTCAAACGTCCCCCAACATACAGTATCAACACCATACCAGCGCTACACTTTTCTACTCTTTTGTGTTCTGCGCTCATCGTCACCCTACTCCGCGCCACGCCGCGCATCACGTCACGCTAAACTACGCCACGCCAAGCCAAGCCAAGCCATTACACCGCTACACACACACACACACCACCACCACTACCACACGCCACAATAGTGCGCGTTGTTGAACAGCGCACAACATACATCCCTCCATGCAGCACTAGCGGCTGAGCCGAAGCGCGTTTGTGCATTTGCCATGATGGGTATGAGTGTTTACATACAGACATACTTACAAACATATATACATACATGCGCGCATTTAGTTTTACGGTTGCCGTATTCGCGCGCCTTTCGCTTCCTACTGCCTGCCAACCGACCGACCAACCGTGCGACCAGGCAGCCGGCCAAACAGCCAACTAAGTGACCCTCCAATCGACCGTCCAAACAACTGCTGGCTCAACTTACAATGGGATTCGCGTTGTCGTCGTCACCGTTGCTAGTGTGGTTGTAGTCATCGTCGTGCAAAAGAGTCGTCGGCCAGCTAGGCGGGCATGCAGGCTGGCTGGCGCGCAGACCGGCAAGGAGGTTAGGCTGCTTTTACTGCTGCGACGGCAATGGCAATGGCTTTAGCTTGAGCTGTGGCTGGCTGCCGTTGCTACTACTACTGCTGCTGTTGTTCGCGCCGTGTTGTTGCCACCGACGTACGTACGTATATATGTGCAGTGATATGTTTGGTCAAGCACGTCAGGCAGTGCGCCGATTCACGACACATAACTAAGCTATGGAGTTTTGCACTGTGTCTGTCGCCTTTGCTATGACTGTTGCTTTGTTATTGTCTCCTTCACTTGCTGGCGCGCAAATATCGCACGGCAACTCATCGTCGTCCCCATCAGCAAATGACACAACATTGCTGTTGCCCGCTACATTGCGGTGATATTGAACGTTATGGTCATCACGACGACCACCACATGCCCGTCTATCGAACCCGACAGCGCTAGTTTAGCCAAGCAATTGTTGTAGAAATAAAATTCCAATTTGCGGTGAGAGTGTGCTTAGCTACCGCTTTGATGCGCTCGCAGGCGGTAAATGGCTGGCAGCTTTTTAATGCTGTTCAGAGCGCGAAAAAGTGCAGGCGATCTTGTTGATATTTTGTTTTTGAACGCAGCTCGTTTGCTCCTCCAAAGGATTCACGTGCAGCCTGCGCAAGCGTACTCCACTTTCGATTTTCTGTAAATTACATAATGAATATTTCGTATAAGCCGTAGAAATCTTTGACGCGTAGCCTTCTATCCTTTCCGTTCGTGTCTGCTGCGCGCATAGCTGCCTTTAGTTCCGCTGGTTGAACTTCAAGGCCATCTCTATTTGGCTGCGTTAAATTTTCCACTGAGTGCCTGGGCTATGCTACGCGTGCACCAGCGCCTCCGCCTTCGCCTTGTGTGGCTATCCTCACTGCGTTGCGTTGCGTTGCGCTATGTGCGTGATATTTTTAGCCGCCGTAACTGCTGTTTGTTTTTGGCTTTTTTTCCTTTTCCTTTTCGACGTATATTTTTTCGTTTTGTTTCATTTATATATATTTTTTTTCGCTTTTCGCTTGCCATATTCCAACGCATCGTCAATATTTTGCTCATGTGCTGTTTACCACTGCGTTGCTGTCGCTGTTGTTGTTGTCTACTTCAGCCCGTTCCAACTTATCGCCGCCAACATGGTGCGCTCTAAGCACAAAAACTCGTCATCGTCCGAGCATGTATACATACATACGTACACACCCGCCGATATATAACTCTGCGCATTCGTGCCGCTCCCGACGCCCTCTTGTAGGTGCCACGGCGTACGCTGTTCGTTCGACTCATTTGTTTCGTGTTGTTGTGTTTTTGTTTTTGCACTTACTGCGCGTTCGTAGCTGCAGTCAGCGCAAACGCCAACGCCATCAGAGTCATCGCCATTGCCATCGTATGTACGCCAACCATCGCCACCACCACCATACATTCAACCTTTCATCCATTGATCCGTGTGTTGTTCTTGCCGTTGGCCGCCGTACGTCGTCGTACGCTCTACGCCGATTTCAAATCTCCTGCCCTCATCCAATCAACCATCCGTGCAGCCTCTTCTTATTTCAATCTCTTTACGTCGCTCGCCTCTCGCGTCTAAACAACGCGCGTACATATGTTTACATACATTTATGTATATACAACGCTTTCATACACCGCCTCGCACCTTGCCGCTCTTGCTACAGTCAACTGTTGTGCACTCCCTTCACTGTGCCCCGCAATATTGTCCACTCCACAGCACGGCATACCAGCGACGATGCGCGCACGGCAGCGCTCACGCTTGTGCGCACACTTCACCTCTCCGCGTCGCGTTGTCTGCCGACTGTTCGTTGCTTATACTTTGCTGCGCCTGTATGTGCGCGCGTATATGTGAGTGTGTGTTGGCAGTTAATGGCTCCACTATGCTTGCTCATACGTTGAGTTGCGTCGTATTTGCGCTGCCACTGCTTGGTTGATAGCGTTTTTGTTTGGCAGTCGTCAAACCGTGCCTTCATGGCAGTGTTTATATATGTATGTATGTATGTATATGGTATATGAGTGTATATAGGGGTGTGTATGTGCGCACTGTGGCCTGATTGCGCTGCTATTCACAGTTTTTGTTATTTTGTGCATTGGCTGCCGCGCGTCACCAACGCGGACGGCGCCTATAAATGCATACCGCGCCCCCATAAACCCCATCGCTGAGTTCAGCCGATACAAGTGCATATGCATACATACACATACATATATGTATATGCGCTACCTTGCAGCTGTATAACCGTGCTATTACTCATATATATATAAACATATATATGTATATATTTATTGATGTATATGTATTCCCAGAAATCACTACCGCCTGCCGTTCCCTTTGTCGTTTCCGCAGCTCCGCGCAGTTGTTGCTTTACCTATTACACATACTCTTCCCTGCGCCTACCGCAATATTTTACTGTTGGTGTTGTTGCCATAGCTACGACAGCGTTGCGCTTGAAAGCGAGCGAAAACGGTTGTCGGACGGACCGCCAGTAGCGCTTGGAAAATATCAGCAGAAAAAACAAGAGCAACAACGCTTCAAAGTCGCAGCGTTTTCAACCAAAATACTACAACAACAACAAGAAAATTTTTAGCGACGTCGCGTGGGGAGTCACAACGGCGAAAAGCGAAATGAACTTACTAACATATAAACGCATTTATGTATGGTATATATGCATGTGTGTGTGTGTACGCCTACCAACAAAACAACAGCGCAAAAACGACAGTAAAACACCAACAGCAGTAACAACGAAAACAGCTCAACGCATACATACACACAAATCCATTCGTGCGAGCACCTCCATATGACCATATACGCAAATACATACAAATATATATCTATACTATGTAGCCGTATACCTAAGCTGAGTCTGCATGTTACGCCGAATCAACTGACGTTACGACGTGACCGCTATTCGTCGGTCGTACGTCGTCCAACGTCCGTCGTCGGTTGTCACTAACATCGTTTGCGCCTTCGTTGCTGTGGCTGCTGTTTTTGTTTTGCCGCCCGTTCTCGTTGTCGTCATCGTCATCGCCATCGCCATCGTGCGATGGTTAGCTGTGCGGTGGCATGACGCGACAATGATGTTTTTAGCCTGCCTGCCAGCCAGCCAGCCAGCCAGCCTACCGGTGGCTGCTCGGTCGGTCTGTCGACTCGTTTGGTGTTTGTAATTGCTATTACTATTGTTGTTGTTGTTGTTACTGCGCTGGGTGCTTTTGTTGTGTGCACGTCAAGCGGGCCATTGCTGCCTCAGCCCCAACTCGCGTCGGACCATCGTAGCGCATACACACAATGTTCTACTAACAACGTCACAGCTGCCGCCGACGCTGCTGGCACCGCCGCTGCTTCTCCCAACCACAAATGCTGGCAGTGTACGTGAGTGAAGCCCAGTTGAACCAGCGGCCACCCTTCCACTCAACACGGTCATCGGCACTGTGGCGCGCTGTACACTGATTATTTTTGTTGTTGTTGTAGCGCTATGCTGCAGCTAATGTCACCGCTTTTGTTATTCCTGTTGTTTTTGCCTCAGTTGTTGTTGTTGGTGTTGTTTTCTTTTTTGCTTCAGCACAAATGGCGAACGGTCGCGCGCACGTCGCTCGTTCGCTTGCAGCGTTTCTGCGTGTTTCTTCTTCATTTGTATTTGCTTTGGTTTTGTTTTTGTTTTTGTTGCTGTTTTTGCTTTTGCCACAAATCGATAAAAGCGAAACGTAGCGCGTCGGGCAAGGGGGTGCAGATGTTTGGTTGCTGTTCGGCGGTAGGACGATGACAACACAAGCCGTCGCAGCAACGCAGCAACAACAACAACCTTGATAACAACAGCAATGTCAAACGGTAACGATTCTATTGATGTTCTGGGCGTTGGGCGCTGTTGGCTGACGTTCATGTTGACGAAGTACAGCGAACGGCAGCAAAGAGCGAAGAGCGCGCACAAATAGCGACTGGCCTGGCGCTTGTCGTTTGTGTTGTTGGCGCTGAGCGTTAGCTAGCATTTGCGATACATACATACATTAATACATATATGTATATATATATAAGTATATACTTTTATAAACTTATAGTTTTACATACATATGCTCTTGTGTGTAGGCGTTTGTGCGGTGGGCGGCGGACAGCTCGCCCATGGACGGCGAATGCCGCGTGTGTGCACACATGTAGCGCATAAGCATAGATACAAATCACACCTGCATTCACACATACATATGTATGTAGGTATACATAAAAGCGAAAACCAAGAATGTATATATATAGTATACATAGTTCGTCAGGCGCTGAGATTAACCAGGTACTTCAGGTGGATATGTGTAAACGCTATATGTACATATATACATAATAGCTATATTCCTATCTAAAGGATATACATACATATCTAAATACTTATGTATATATAGAATTTACATACATATATAGTATATTGAGAAGTCTACTTGTAAACGTTCCAAGGATCTTAGGACATCAAGGGGTCCAAGCTACTGATCATAAATTTCACAACAGGTCCCTCATCGATTTCTTTATTGTCAGCCAGAATCAGCGAAAATTACATTCAGATTATCCTCAAATGAGGATGCGAAATTTAATGTATTGAGTTAATGTGGAAAGTTTCCAAACTTTTCTCGCTATATTTCGGCCAAATGTTGTCAAGATCAACTTCTTCCAATTGCGTCCATAAAAAGTTGGTTATCATCGATCTATACCGGTCTCCATTGACAGTAACGGTGTCACCAGCTTAATTTTGAAAGAAGTAAAGAATTTGTGGATTTTCTTCGCACCAAAATCGACAGTTTTGTTTTTAATAGCGAGCAGAGGTGGACGATTATTAAAGCTTTCCTGCGCTTGCAATTGGTGAACGATTATTTTGATAATAAAATTGAAAAATTTGTAAACGTTCTTTCTTGCGTATATATTGATGAAATATGATGAAATTATAAACATTATTGAATACAATGAAAATAAAAATTACAGATCATGACATATTAACAAGTAAGGAAGTTCTAAGTTCGGGTGTAACCGAACATTTTATACTCTCGCAACTTGCAAGGATCAAAGCCCGTGAAATGACTTCAGGTGTTGGCAAAATTTTATATTAAAGGAAGTATTGATCCGATTCAACTCATTTTTGACACAAAAATCATGCTATTATAAAGAGTTTCATTTATTTTTTTTATTCTATGAATTTCAATTACATATATGTATATCTTACACATTGACCGATATTTTCGGTAGAAGGTCAACTATAGGCACTGGGGTCCACATATTCAGTACCTATTGGCTTGCACAGTTTTGGTTCGACTTAGACAATTTTTAGTCACAAGGTGGCATACTTTAAACGCATTATTCACGCAAAGTTTTACCCCGATACAATTATTGTTGCTTGATTTTCATAATGGAAAGTGAAAGAATCAGATAGAATCTAAAATTGTGTTATATGGGAAGTAGGCGTGTTTGTAATCCGATTTCGCCCATTTTCGCACAATAACATAGAAATATAAGTAGAATGTTATGTACCGAATTTGGTTGCAATCGGTTAAGCAAATCGCAAGATATGGGTTTTCACCTAAAAGTGGGCTGTGCCACGCCCACTGACTAATTTTGAACGCGGTTCCTATAAAGTCATCTCATACCATACTAGAGATAAAATTTAATGTCTCTGGCGTGTTTAGTGCTTGATTTATCGCGCTTTTAGTAGTTTTCAACAGTACCGTTATATGGGGAGTGGGCGGGGTTGTCACCCATTTTCACACTGTCGATAGGGGTGCTAAAAACATTTGTTCTCAGTGAATTTTGTTATTAAAGCTTCAGTGGTATCGGAGATATGCACATTAAACTTGTTAACAACTCGTCTCTTCATCCTGATCATTTATATATATATAACCCTATATCTCACTCGATTAGTTTTAGGTGATACAAACAACCGTTAGGTGACAAAACTATTATACTCTGTAGCAACAAGTTGCGAGAGTATAAAAATACACAGTTATTAGAAACACACGTTCCTTATTTCTTTAAGATAACTCACATATTGACCGATGTATTCGGTATAATGTCGACTGGAAGTTCGAAAATCTTTATATATATTGGGTAAATGAGGGCTAATGGAATCATTAAGCCGATTCAAGCCATCTTTGTCATAGAGGTACAATATTATCGATATTTTCGATAAACAAATTGCAATAACAATTAGAGTCCACATATTCGGTATCTGGGGACTTCAACAGTTTTTGCTCGATTTGGACAATTTTTGGTCATAAGGAGCACAATTCGTTCAAAGTTTTACCCCGATACAATCATTGTTGCTTGATTTGCATAGTGGAAAGTAAAATAATCAGAGGGAGTTTAAAATTGTGTTATATGGGAAATAGGCGTGGTTGTAGTCCGATTTCACCCATTTACGCAATGTAACATAGGAAAGTCAGGATAAAGGATTATGTACCTAATTTGATTGAAATTGGTAAAGCAAAGTAGTATGTGAAAACACATATCTTATTTAATCAAAGTGTGGGTGGTGTCACACCCATTATCATATTTCGATACCGATTCCTATAAAGTCCTTTCGTACCATTTCGGATGTAAAATTTATTGTCTCTGGCGCATTTAATGATTCATTTATAGCGCTTTAAGTAGTTTTTAACAAAACTATTATATGGGGAGTGGGTGGGGTTGTATTACAATTTCATCCATTTTCACAGTAAAGTAAAAAGGGGTAATAAAAACATTTTTTTCTGAGCAAATTTGGTTAATTTGGCTTTAGCTGTGTAGGAGATATGTATAAAAACCTTATTAGAGCGTGGAATCACGGCTACTTTTTCAATTTTTAAACCGCAAATGCTCCTCCCTAATGCAATTCGTTGTACTAACTACTCTTATTGTGTAGCTTAATTATAGCACTTTATAGGTAGTTAGGTTATTTTTGGATATGCCTTGTATATAGCTTTTGCTGCAGACAATGACATTGTAGAGCATAGTACAGTATTTCCAGCATCGCTCAAAGGTCCTTCGTTTTGTGCAAGGTACAGTTAATACAAAGGCGATTTGAAAGCTATCGGAAAACATAAAACGAAATCCTTTTCGTCCGAAGGCGTAGTACTTTGAAGTCACTATTATTGCTTGCCAAGAGGTAAGCACGATTATATGCACAAGATCCACGTTAGCCTAAACTTGTATATTTCTACTGAGATCCATCTTCCTCGATATTTAACGCCGACCTACAGCTCTTTCAATTTGTAGAAACAATATTTCATATGCCGGTTATTGTATATATATCAGTGATTCCCAACCATTAATTCAACAGAGATTTCTATTTCATTAATGTTGTTTTCGTTGGTCACCCATTCTAAATTTTCTGATTGTTAACTCTTGTTCTGGCATATCATCTTTTACATCCGTTTTAGAGAAAAACTGAAGCGGAATTAGCATTAATAAGGTTAAACTTATCCTCGTTTAGAATTTCTCTAATCATTATTTTCTTTTGTTCTTTTTCAGACAAAAGAGTCAGCAAAACCATGGCACCGGTTGTTGAAACTTACCTGCAGGATATAGCCCAGAAAATCACAATACGTGATGAGGATAGACCAGTGTATACGAAAGACTTCGACATTATACGAGATCATATCTTGAATGGCATGTGCGAAGTGGACAATGTTTTTAATATACTCTATAAAGGACCAAGCCTGTTTGGTACGATGGTATAAAACTACAGCCAACATTCATACATAACATACATATGTATGTATGTATAAACACAACTGTGTCGAGATACGTGTGACCCACTAAACTCTATTAGTATAAATATCCATTTCAAATTAAGTTCATTTGATTTCCTAGTACAACCAATTTGCTCTAATTGGCAGTCAAACTGCTAGAGCACTCTGCTCTAGTTCGGACATTTCCCGGTTTGAAAAATAATGTCACCAATATTTTGAATTTTTTAACTATAAATTATAAACACTTCCACCATGACGATTTTTGAGATAGGCTATTTCTAATTTTATCGCCGAACGCGGCGGCAAAAACGGCATCACCATATCAAAGAAAAAATATTTTCAGTAAAAATATTAAGGATTTTCAAAAAATATGTAAGAAAATGTCTGCTATCTTTACGATATGCATATATCTCAATAATAGGTTGCGAAGCTCGAACAAAAAATTAGTAAACCTTCACTACTACTTTTCCATCCACTTCTGGTCCAACAATGAAACATTTGGATTGAAGACAAGCGAAATTATTTAGCATTTGTGTGTGGCCGCAATCAGTACTGGTAGTTTTGTACTTAACAATCTTAACTATAGGAATTGTTATGTAATATGAATGTACAATTCGAAGAAAAACGCAACTATTTCCAGTTGTCATTGGTGAAGCAATTTTGTATAGCTAATTACACTAGGCACTCGTTTAAACGATAACATCTATTTACGCGAAATTTTCTAGTCTAATTGATGGCTTGTAGCTACCGATATAAAGTTGGACACAATATCGTTCAATAAAGTGAATTATAACGTTCAATAAAGTGAATATTATCGGCACTCTTGACAACTAATTTAATTAATACATTCCACTTAGTTCCTTATAACAATGGTGACAAAATTCATCGGCTCACGCCAACTGGTAACTCAAATTAGTTATAACGTTAATCTAATAACGGTAACGGCTCTATCTAAATGTGTGGTCTATTACTAAAGCCTTGACATAACCTTTAAAAAAAGATGTTCTATAAATCCACTCAGATGAAAGTTAAGTTAATAAATACAAAATCGATGACTTGGTACCTTTTTAGAAAGTGAGAAACCATCAGAGCGGCAGCTCACATATATGTGGCGCTTGCAGCATAATTTGAGCGCTTTGTAAATACAACACTGCGTTTTCGAAAAACCAAAAAAGTGTCAACTCAGCTAAATAAATATTTTCCAATTTGCAAATACATATGTATGTATGTATACACACATACGCATTAAATATATATTTATATCTATGTATGTATATAAATATACTATGCATGTGTATGTATTAACGTTCATAGGTAGCTACTCAAATAATGTGCGCATCAAGTATCCCAACGAATTCGATGTAATATTCAAACTTAGTATGCCTTATTCATCATATATTAATGTGGAGGAGGATGAAGATCGTCCGGGTTTTGTCAACTTAGATTTTGCAGATATTATGGAAGTGCTTTACAATTGTAACGGTTATACGGATGTATATAATCAATTTTATGACCTTGTTGATTGGAATAACCATTACCTTAATCGTTCGAGTCTGCAAACCTGGCTTAAAGGTGTTATGGAAGATTGCTTGGATATAAATGGTGATCGGGTGCGTGGCAATTGGGGTGATATATATACATTGATATATACAAAACGTGGACTAGCACATACGATATATGCTAAATGCGCTAAACGCGCGATTTCGATTGACTTTGTGCCGGGTATCTGCTTCGGCACTGCTGAGTGGATCGACGTCAGACATTGTCGTAAATTCAGGAATAAATGTGAACAATGGTACGCCGTTCCGAAGCCCACATCTGGCTCACAGGAGACGCGTCGCTATGCCTTTATGATATGTAATCCAAAGTGGAGCACGATCTTTATTGGGAAATCAGAATTTGAAAGTAGTATTTCGTCTCTTAAAATCATTGCGTAATGCATATGGCATGCGTTGTTTAAAGAGTTATTTAATAACGACTAATTTTCTATGGGAAATCGAGTTACAGCATAAAAATTTTGGTACAACCAATACATATTATACTTGAACATGTAAGGTA